GTGTGGTTGTGGTTTTGTGTACTATAGGCTTTAGTCCCCTGCACAGGGGACTAAGCGGGGACTAAGCTTTTTGTGTGGGGGACTAAGGGGGACTTTGCAGGACTAGGGGGGACTAAGGGTTTTTAGTGGGACTACGTAGTCTCAAGCGAGAAAAGTTTGATTCGGAAGAAATTGGTGTGGTTTTTTTGATTTTAGAATTCAGTTTGAAATAAAAAAGCCCATAGACTCTAATATGTTCGAATAAAGTTCAGTACATGTTCATCGAATTTTCTTATCAAGTGCTTTCGATTGGTATATAATAAGAATATATAAATATTATTTTAGAAGCCATTCTGGAAAGAAATATTGAGACACATTGATTTTTTAGAAACTTTATTTTACCAAGAGATAAAAAAAAAGCAATTAATTTTCTTGGAAACTCGTTTTTGTTTTAAAAAGGAAAGGCTGACAGTTGTGAAAATACTTTATTTATAGGTAATCGATAAAGCTCTATCGAATGAGCGTGGGGGTGGGCGTGGGTGTGGGGTGCAGGTGATGGTGTGGGTGTGGGGTGCAGGTGATGGTGTGGGTGTGGAGTGCAGATGATGGTGTGGGTGCGGTGTGAGTGTAGTGCCTCTCGTTACTCACACCCACGCCCATACCCTTTTACGAAAAGTTCTATTTTTTTTGTAGGTTATAGATTATTTTACTATCTTTTCTCAATATTTAAAATCATTAATCTAGAATTTCACTTAAAGCATTACAGATGTGATATAATATCAAAAAACAGCAGTGACAAATAGGAGCTTGTTTGTGACTTTTTTCGTTGAAAATATCTGCAAAGAAATTAGTTAAGATTTAGTGCCAAATATTTTTGTTGTTTTTAACCTAGATATTTTATCTACAAAATGTTCTCATGAAAGATGATCGTCTTCCCTAAAAAAGAAAAAAGTAAACAGTTCAGATCAAGTAGATTCGAAATACTGCACTGAAATGTTTTTTTCGATTATAGGACTATATTTAACAAAACACTAACACATTCTGTTATAAAAATGCAAAAAACAAATAAATAAAAATTTTTTTAATATAATACGAATTAATAAAGATTAACAGAGTATGATTCCATCTATAGGAATACGAAATAGTGACAAAAACACTATAAATAACCAAAGATTTTTCAAGTTGGCAAAATTTCAAAATACAGATCAGTTAGTCTGAATTATCAAAGATTGAACACGTATATTTGGGATTGTTAATGATTGACTTTAATTCTTAGGGAATATTACTCAATAAAATAACCCATATTGCACATCTCAATCGATTGTTGTTTTCCTTTACATGGATTATTAACCATCGCATGAATACAAAACAGAGAGGGACACTAAATTATTTTCTAACTTTTAAAAAGTGTTTTTTTGCAATAATATTCTCAATTGACAATGAATAAAACAATTTTGAGGCAGCTTCAATGTGTCATCATTCTTCTTTTCAGAAAACTGCCTATTCTTCTACGGATGCTGTCACTCTGCTTAGGATGTGGGAGTAGAAAAGATCTATACTACATTCACAACGCAAATACTGTATAGTTCGAAACATCTGAGTATAAATGTTCGCCAGCGTACAATGTACCATGTATATCTGTCATATCCCATTCGACATGCTACATGACTAAAGTGTAAGTATAATCATAGAAAATAATTTTCTAATTGTTTTTATTTACGCAAAACAGAAGAACAAAGTTGTTTAGCTGAGTTAGAATCACACAACAAACATAATAAAGTCTTCTAATGTGACCATCATATAAAACTATTAATTGAATGTTTATTAAATATCTATTAAAGTAAACCGAATCTTTGAAAACAGGTTGAGATCCTTCTTTTTTGATCCATCACAAAATAGTGATCAAAAGTGTCACTTTGATAACACTCTTTCAACATAGTTTAAAAGAAACATAGCGAGCCATATACTGATTCCCTAAAAGTCGATGAACATCTATTTCTTTGTAACTAGATTGTATATTGATCAAACTCAATGGATATGTCATGTAGTTTAAAATTTAAAATGACTATAATATTTCGTGTAATTGTGTAAATTATGTTCAAACAAAGTTACACGTACTCAGCAGACAATCGAGAATGAAATATTTGAATGCCATACGAATGTATAGTAAAAAATTCTATCGATGTAATCTATCTTTCAAAACTTTTGATATAGCTTGCAACTCTGGAATATAGATGTGAGTAAAGAGAAAAGCTAAACCTATAGCGAAATTCACATAAGTATTGGTAATCTGAGAAATGTGAGTGATTTTCTTTTATTTTCATTAAAATCTTTCGAAATATTTGTAAATATGAATTGTGTCTTATCACGAATCATAGTTACTAGAGCAAAAGGAAAATCAGTCTAAAGATTAATATTAATATTCGGTTGTTAAGTGAATACCAATGGATCTTAGTGAAAGAGTAGAAAAAAGTACACTTTCCAGTAGTTTGAACTCAATTGTTCAAAATGCTTAAGCGTCTATAAAAATAAATCCATCAAAAAAAAATTCATCGCGAGTTGACGAAAGTATATTAGGTTTCAGCAACTTGAGTAGGCCACATTTCGAACATACCATTGAATATTGTAGTATATTCATGTTGTTCGTATATGATACCTTCAAAAATGCACTTTTGATTGTTCCAAGTCAACTGATAATGACATTTATGACCTATATTCAACCGTGGATCACCAGTTCCCAACTAAACAGACATAAATAATTTTGAAAAGATGTTGAAAACTTTCGGCAATAATGTATAACAAGCCACAAATACTTTTAAACAAAAGTGACAAAGTTAAGAACTTTCTCCTTTTCAAGACAAGAATTGTAGATATTGTTAGAAAACCATCTAAACCTTTTTTTTGCGAAGTAAATTACAAAGAAAATTATTGAATCTTGTATGGATATATGATGTGAGTCTACACATAATGGATCTAGTTCAGAATCCAAAGTCTATTCTCTAGCATTAGAAGAATTTCTTGGTCATTTTTCGAAATCCATTTTTCAATAAAATATCTTTACAAAACATCAGTGGACGCAAGTTCAAATTTTAAGAATTCCAAAGAACAATAAGTAGATTTACTTTGTATGATTGAGTCATAGTTATCTGCAGCTTTTCTCTTGAATAGAATCCATTCAAGAGAAAATCACCAACAATATCACTACCGTAGCCTTCAAAAGAGTTGTTATACGATTTAAAAATCATTCGATGTGAAAATGGACCAAATCATATTCCATATTGATAGAAACGGTGTAACCAAGAGCCATTCATGAAAATACTATTTAATGAGTTTTTCGCCAAAGGCGAAGAGGCAACAGCAGCTACTACAACGAAAACTATTTCAATCATAATGATATTTCATACAACTTACGTTGATTTTTTTAATAAATCCTTGCAGAATCAATGTCGTTTATTTGATGTACATTGTTACCATCTTTTGGAATCGGATATTCTTCTATCTGAGATGTTGGATTGTCATTTTGACCTTTCTCACTTTGAGATTGTATCGAATGATCTAGAGTTCAATATAAGAATTATTCTGATTATTAAAGGTGTTTCAACAAACTAACAATAAGAACCACTGCTGATTGGTTCTTCGTTTTAGAGTAGAACTAAAAGTGGCATTAAAGTGCTTATTGATTCAATATGCGCATCATGCTGTATTTTATAGTGATTTATAATATTGGCTTGGCAAGAAGTTTTTGTCGTTTTTATTTCGAAAATTTCCTAGGACTGTCAAGAAAGTTCTAGAAGTTTCCATATTAAGGGTATATAAAGGGAGTGTGAATATCTTTCGAACAACAATAAAACTATGGATATATATGCTGATCTCGAATTAGAAATGAAGATATCTCTTAGAGAGCTCCGAGTGCTTCTGCTTCATGAATTCTGTTTGGGACACAACACAGCGGAAGTAACAAGCAACATATGCCATACAATGGGCAAGGATGCGCTCTACATTCGTACGGCGCAACGTTGGTTCAATCAGTTCAAGAGCGGTAACATCGAACTCGACGATTTACCTCATACTGGAAGACCACTAGACGTAGATATGGATCTCTTAAAGCAGCTTATCGAAGAAGATCCTAGACTAACTACACGATGTTTAGCAGAGCGTCTTGGGTGCTCTCATACTACAGTGGAAACACATCTGGTCGAATTAGGCGGGTGTGGGGGTGGATGTGGTGTGGGGGTGGGGGTGGGTGTTGGTGGGTGTGGGTAAAAAGAAGATAAATACTCAGAGATTATTCATACCCACACCCACACCAACCCCTGAAATACTACTAGAGATGTACTACTACAATTATATTATTCTCCTACAATATAACTCCAGGTAGGTCTGAACATGCTGCCAGAAAACTTCCAGCACTTACAATTACAATCAGTATGAATTTATTAAAGCAAAGCATAATGACAACGAGATTGGTTTTATTAGCATTAGAATGTAATGAGTTAGTCATCATTAAATTGATCACGTACAAATAAATCACATAACACTTTTTTTTGAGACTTTATCAATCACAAGTATAGTGTTATTCATTTCTTTGATTCAAGACACATCATTCATTTCGAGTATTTGATGTCGTTTTGATTATTCATTACGGATGGACAAATATGATTTCTCTCCTCGGTTTTATAATTTTGTATATAACGAAAACTAACGTATGGATATGGCTATGGTTCGACTGTTCTGTTTATGCTTATTTACTTAGGTATACCTGTGCCTGTCTTGTTTTCCTTCATCTTCTGCTCTGTTTATGGTTGTTACTTGAATCATTTCTTCTTTTTAATACACGTGTTTTGACTCTTCTACTTTCTGTGTCATTTGCATCGTTTGATGTGTAGCAGTAGCCGTTTTTTTTCTATACGCTATTTTATCTATCAGACGTGTATCATAAAGTTTGATTTTATAGTTCTTCTAAATTTCACTATCAGTTTTCTCATTGTTCTTTGTTACTCTTCGATAAGAAACAAAATAACATGAAGTGTTGTGGACTTTTTACACGATCTGTGAACAAAACGAAAACTACTATTGATTTAAATGATCGTTGTATTGGTTGTCTACTATGTCACATGATCGGTGATCAGCTAGGTGCTGGCGTCGAGGGTTACTCAGCTGCCAAAATTAAAAGTGAATATGGAACTCTGTGTGACGATGTCGCAGCTCCACATATGGGTGTGGAGGAACTTGGTCCTCGTATTCATATGTATACGGACGATACAAACTCCATGCTTGCACTAGCGCATAGTCTTGTTACAAATAGAGGTTTGAAGCCGAAGCATGCAGCCCAATCCTATGCTCAATTTTGGTCGACTGGAGTTAAACGAGGTTATCCTGAATCAGCTCAAGCAAGTATGCAGGTTAGTGAAATGGCCTTTTTTCCGATCATATGATTATCTATATTTTGATGATTAAATGTACTAGAAACAGTCGAAAAAAAACAAAAAATTTCTAACTTAATATCCTATCATTAATATTGTTCTTCATTATATGGTTCCCTTTTTAATAGCAACTCTTGTTTCTTCCCTTTTTCATGGACATTTCTTTGTTAAACGACAGTCAAACTTTCAGCTTTATATATTGTACAATATCAATAGGTTGTTGAACAGTACTAAATTAGTATATACTGGGCAGGAATTGTCTGAAATTCTTTTCTTTGCTAGTTAATACAATGACTAACCTATTACATTGGCGCATAAGTTCTGAGAACTTTTTTTTCTGGTTCAACAATAACTTTAGTTTTCAACAAAGATATGCAACGTCAATCAACAATATAATCGCCATTGTTTTATCTCAAAAGCGACCGGCTTTGGTGAATCAAAAACTCGTCATCCTTCTCCATGACAATAGTCGACCTCATGTGGCACAGTTGACTCAGCAAAAAATCGAATATTTAGGATGGGAAGTTCTTTCGCACGCGCCGTGGCCACCAGACCTTGCACCATCCGATTATCATCTGTTCCTATCTCTTCATAACTACCTGTGCAATAAAAACTACGAAGACTTCGATGAGCTGAAATCCGATCTAACTGCCTTTTTCGAATCAAAACCGGGTAGTTTCTACAGACGTGGAATTGAACTATTGCCAGAAAGATGGGCGAAGATTGTCGAAAATAATGGTGATTATATTGTTGATTGATGTTGCATATCTTTGTTGGAAAATAAAGTTATTGTTAAACCAGAAAAAAAATTCTCAGAACTTATGCGCCAATGGGATATGATCTGTATTTTGTACAGCTTTGTTGGATGGTAGTTGCACTCTTCTAAAAAAGCTGTTAGCGCAATCCCTTGCGGGATTAAAAATGTGAAACACGATGTAGCTGCTATAGCCGATATTCTAAAAGCTGTTGTTTTTATGGCTACAGATATATACTTCTTCATAATGGATTACCTTATATTATATGCTTTCGACAGTATAGTACTCAATACATGCTTCAATGATATATTAGTTGTGCATCATATCTGATATTTCCTTGAAGTCCTCTATCACAGTCTATAATGATCCCTCAGTCTTGTCTGTCACGGTCTGTGACGGGTCTAGAGCCCTGTCTGTTACGGTCTGTGATGGGTCTAGAGCCCTGTCTGTCACGGTCTATGATGGGTCCAGAGCCCTGTCTGCCACGGTGTGGGACGGGTCTAGAGCCGTGTCTGTCACGGTCTGTGGGGGGAGGGGGTGAGTCTAAATTTCTACCCTTAAACACTTCAACACTTCTTTCAGATCATGTTTCACAAAAAAGCGTACGTGCTTTGACTACTGATTGAATAACCAAATGTTGTTGTAACTTGAACAATTCTAAGGATCATGATCGGTAATCAGATTCTACGATATTTTCTCTCTTGAATAAATTCCTAGTTTCAAACTTTAAACATTGGTTCGAAACACTAGTAAACATTTGTATTAAATGATGCAACATAAAACTCTGTATGCGGTGATTAAATCTGAAAATTAATAATGGAAATACACCAACGAAAGTCCTTATAGATAAGACATTATTTCGTGCATAGGAATACATTCAAGGTATTATTGTGTGTCAGCAAATGAATTCTGTCAATTAATTTGTTCGTTTTAAATTTGAATTAACTATAAGTTTTGTGCAGGATGATGCGTATCGTGTTTGAGCCGAACTGCATGCCATTGACCGAAGTGAAACAGTAAAAGATGAAAACTACGATACAGCAAACGTTGTTCTCATTTGTGATATGTGGATGGGTAACATTTTATTATCATATTTAGAATATTCGACAAGTTTTGTCACTGAGAAGAAATCAGATAATCGATAATAATTTTAGCTTTAGTCTACAAAAAATGTTATCATGGATTTTTCTCTTTAGATAGTCGACTATCGATTCTCTGCCTTTAACTAGCAATATTGCTAACATCATCCGTTTAGTTTTGATATGATTAATCCAAATTCTATCGGTGGTGCCCATGCAGTATATTTTCTCATGCAGCCATATTTAGTTTGATCACGTCTTTTATAGGTTGATAAAAACAAAGTTCAATTAAGTAATAACAAAGAACTTTAGTCGAGAAATTTCGATAAATTCAAAGAGATACTTGTGAGTTGTATTCAAATCGATATTAAATACTATAGCCACTTGCTCCAGAATTAGTCGTAAAAATACAGGAACCGTTATTTATTGACTAATTCTCTCTGAGCGAAAGAACTACTCGAATGTCCTAAGTACATACATTTTGAATATTGATTGAATATATCGACCCAGAGAATCGTCTTCAAACGCAAGTCATTGGATACTGCTTCACTATAGAAAGAAAGAGTTACAATTAGTTAGTAAATGAAGTCGTAACCGACGAAAATTTTTTAGCACTAACAAATGATAGAAACTTGAAGATAAATTCTATAAGCACTCGATATAAATATATCATAATGCCAACCTGTCTATGGAAACATTACGGTTGAGAAAAGCATTCGCTTCCATTAAATTCTATGATTAGTGAAGGGCAATAACTTTCAAGCTCACCCAATTTTCGACTTCATCTTATCCTTGCTGTAAAACGTGTGAACGTCTAAAAACTGCTAATTGTTTTTTATGTCAATAAAACGGAAACTTGTTGATACACAATCGTAAAGTGATTTTTCATTGGTACTTTCCTTTAGTAAAAAAACCCAAAAAAAGTCAAAGAGTTCGCACGGAGAATGACTAAACATAAGACAGAACATATGTAATAGATATACTAGAAAAATGGATTTGACAATATCTTAGATTTCAAGAACTTCATTCGAGTTGATACTCTCGATTTATTTTTTGATAGTGTGTACTCGATGGCCAGATAGATTACCGTGAGTGTGGACGCATAAACTTTCCCGATGGATCATTTGCCAATGGTGGAGCGGTGCGAATAGCTCCTATTGCTCTTTCATTTCGCAATGCATCTGACAGCCAACTCTACGAAGCTGTTCGCATGGCTATCATCTCTTCGCACGTACATCCTGAAAGTATAGATGGAGCTTTTGTTTTAGCTAAAGCCATTATCTTGGCTCTTCGCTGTAATTCGGTGGAATCGTTTGATCCTTTGAAATATTTTCGTGTTCTAAAGACGATAGCACGAACGAGAACCATGAAAAATCAAATTAAATTATTAATTGGGCTCCATACTGCACAATCTAAGAAAACTAGTGCAAATATACAAAAGTAAGTGTTCAAGATGTTAAGGAGTGAGAATATCATGAACTTGATATCCTAAATTTTTTGAAAAAATAAAAGATTGTTTGATACTGACCCTGAATGGTTTGTAGACTTAATCGATTGAAAAAGATGGTTAATTATAATTCATTGTTGACTCGACTTCATCAGGACAGTATCGACAACTGACTTAAAATTACTATGATTGCACAATCATCTTGGTTATAATTGCATTTTTTTTAGGACAGACATCGATGTAGTACAAGCATTGGGGAACACATTTCAACTGAAAGCTATCGAAGCTGTGCCATGTGCCTTGTGGATTGTATGCACAGGTTATCGTGAACCTGAAGAATGTCTTGTTCGCGGTGTGAATATGGGTGGTGATACTGACACAGTGGCAGCTATAATCGGAGATATTATTGGAGCTTTGCACGGCTGGAAATGGATTCCTGCTCGATGGTATAACAATATAGAGCCAAATTCCGAGGAGAATATGGGCAGAGGAAAAGAATATGCGATTGAATTAGCTAAAAAACTTGCCACTATGAATTTGAACACTATACTAGATGATGATAATTAATGGCATTTAACAAATAAAAGCGTCTCTGTCAATCGAAACAACTGCAGTTGAATAGTGCTGAATATTTGATTAAAATGCAGAATATATATTTTCATGCCTATTATTTTACGCTGACTAAAAGTCTATAGATAGACCTTTTTTGTGTACTCAAAAAGTGAGCACACTATAGAATCGGTCAGTGTGTCCGTCCGGCCGGCCGTTTACACGATAACTTTCGAAAGGAGAGTCGGATTGCGATGAAATTTTCTACACAGCTTAGTCTTGACAATATCTCGGCCGAATTCGAAGATGAGAACGATCCGTCAAGAAATGACTGAGTTATCGAAAAAATTGTGATTTTTGACCAGACCATCCCTGAGGGGGGGAGTACGGTGATTTTTCGAAAAAAAATTTTTTGCTGATAATTATTCACAAAATACATAAATCGACTTAGTTTTTAACGCTGATTCTGAATCTGATATTAGTTTTGAACCGAATCATAGTTTTGTGTACTCAAATAGTGAGTACATTATAGAATAGTCAGTGTGTCCGTCCGTCCGGTTGGCTGTTTACATGAGAACTTCTGACAACAGAGTCAGATTGCGATGAAATTTCATATACAACTTAGTCTTGACAATATCTCGGTTGAGAGAGGAAGATGAGAGGGACCGACCGAGCCCTTCCTGAGTTATTGCAAAAATACCCATTTTTCCCTATAGCTTTCTGTGGAAAAGTTTTCGTAGAAGACTCTTCCTATCATAGTCAATTGAAACCCCAACTATTATATACCATTCGATAGAGAATTTCAAGAACTACAAAATGATATATAAAACATAAAGAAACAAGAAGGTTGACTAACCTATGACAAGGATAATTAAAGAGAACTAGGTTATATTTTGGTCCACGATCTAATTGATCCACAAATAGAGCTTTATCTTCCGGTCACACTGATGATACTTCGAGATTTTCAGATATGGAGAACTCGAATGTGTACTGCACTTCCATAGAAATACTATTAGTTGTGCAGTGACCAATAGAAATGAAGTTATAGGAAAAACGACTTTGTTAGGGTAAATCAATGTGCAGAGTTGAAACTTCAGCTGTATTCGGTCCCAAGTCCTATTGGTTTGGCAACCCGCAATAGAAATGAACATTTTAAATGGTAGATTTCACATTACAATTTTGATATTGAGACAGTCTAGGATGATTGATTTGTATGATTCACTTTTTGAAGTACACATAACTCTCGGATCTAAATCCGAAGTTCCGCATTTATTAAATATCTATTCAATTATGTAAAAATAATTTCTCATTTAATTTAGATTTCGTTTTGAAAATTTAATGAATAGGATTCTTTATGAAATATTTGAATATCTTGATATGTATCATATTTATAAAGGATTTTCAATCTTAATAAACGATTTAATAATTTTCTTAATGATTCAAATTTTCTAATTAAAATCAATATTTTACCAATGTCAAAATCAAATTTTGAATCCTATAAGAAAAATATTGTTACACCAAATAGACAGCGCATTAATATATTTCGTTTATCGAATCAATTTATTGCTGAAAATATTTTTTCATCACCAAATATTATTTTACGATTTATTAATCTTGAAATATTGATTCTTGAAAATATCGATGCCAAATATCTTGATAAAATTATTAATTATTTAATAGATTTACCTAAATTTCATTCATTAAATCTTTCTATTGTTGATTATATTCAAACATTAGATCTTTTTGTTCAAATATTTCGTTTATCGAGATTAAAATATTGTAAAATTATTTATCAAAGAAAAATTATTCAACAATCATCATCTATCAAACGTAATAAATATAGTCGAAGTCCTATTCAATGTTTAATAATAAATGGTGATTTTCCATTGAGTTTATTGCATAAATTTATTATCTTGTCTTCCTCAACTTCAGCATTTCTCAATTGATTCTATTGTTAATTCGAATTATATAGAAAGAGAAGAATTCTTTCATATTCGATTAAAATATTTAAAAAAACTTTCTCTTAGATTTTACTATATTCAATTTGATAAATTTGAAAAAAATAATAAAAAAAATTCTTTCGGTCAATAGAAATTTTACGTCTGACAACATTTTTTGATGAAGCATATTTAAATGCTAAACGATGGGAAGAATTAATATTATCTTCTATGCCAAATTTACGCATATTTGATATATATCATGAAGGTTCTATACGAAATAATGATTTAACATATCATGACATAATAAATCAATTTAATTCATCATTTTGGTTCGAAAAAAAAATGATTTTTTTACATATCAACATGATTCACAACAAAAGATTAAATAGAGGAGTTTTTTTCTCTACAAATCCATATAGGTAGAAATCAATAGTAGTTTTATTAATTTAATTTCATGTTTTATTCTCTTTTAGCAGAAAAGATTTTACATTTTATTGGAAATCAGCTAAACAAATTTGTTCAAATATTTCAGAAATGAATTTTAATTCTGTTAACCATCTTTATGTCTATGGTGAATATGCAACACAAAATGATATAAATTATTTTCCAAATGTAACTCAATTGGCTATTCAACATTATTTTGAAGCATTAGATAATTCAATTATAAAAATTCTGAATCGTATGATTCCATTAAAACAACTTACTAAATTAGTCACGGAACATTTTAATTTTTCATTTGAAGAACTTGTGAAATTCTTACCTTCTACACCTAATTTATGTACGTTAAAATTAAATTATTTATCTGTGAAAAACATCAATTTAAATTTAATCAAAGAAAGTAAAATTTTTCAATACGTATCAAATACAAATAAAATTAAAAATCTAGATTTTCGTGATTGTGATTCATTGAATCAAGTTCAATTGATTGTTAATTTATTTCCACGATTAGAGTCTCTTAAAATTGGAATGAATAAAAAAGAGATCGAACAAATAATTAAATTTTTATTATCAAAATCTAATATTAAAACACAACATTTATTCTTATTATGCATTTCAAACGTAGCGAGAATATATCCAAAACGATTAAAAGTTTTTATTAAATCAGAAAGTTTACTTCAAGATTATCGTGTCGAATATCTTAATGAAGATTTATATTTGTGGTGGTAAAAAAATTTAGTTGTTTAAGATATATTTTGCTATTGTATATAATTAGCGATTAATTTTAAATAAATAGGACATCTAACTTTCAATAGATTTTTATTATGCTATTTTGATTTCATCATACAGGCAAAAAGAGTGTAAGTTTTTGTTTCTTCTTGACTCACCTCCTTCAACTTAGAAATAAAAGCTGTCAGAATAGGATATGAGATCAACAAAGAGTTTTGCATTCTTTTTAAAAATTGACGTAACACTGGGAGAAATAAAGAAATTTATGAAAAGTGATTTCGTTATTTTTATTGCAATGTAATATTGAGTTGATGGAAAGAAAATAATATACAAATACCTTCTTCTTTTTTATCTCCGAACTGAAACTATGATTTATAAGTAGTCTTATTTTGTTAATCTCTTTTATCATATATTTGTTCGGATTTGATATCAAGACTGGATTCTCATTTTAAAAATCTTCTTATTATTTTTCGTAGCTTGAATTCAGAAAGTAAAAATAATTAATTTAACACAAAGCTTATAATAGAGAGATATCTATTAGAAAATTTAACTGGACAATATTGTCAAAATATCGTGAAACACGGTTTGAACAATTTTAAAATCTCGATTGATCGTTCAACATCATACATCGCTCGATGTGCTTTGCTTCCAGTTGAATTATTTCGATACTTTTCTTCCATGATAGTTTCTATATATTTTTCTTTTTCTAACCATTTCTCTGTTGTTGACCATCGTTCGACCATTCCATAGAAACTACTTACATCGATGATACGATAGTGTAAATAGTTATAAACAGTTGGCATCCGTAACCGAACCACCTCACGATCGTGATGAATCGAGCTACCGGCCAACGGACAACTCTTTTCTGGACAGTGTTGTTTAATTAATTCCAATAATTGATTTTCCATTTCTTCTTTCGTTGTTTTCGATGCCAAAATATCATCAAACAAGCCATTTCCACCTAAGAAAAATGACGAGCAAACAAATGACATTGCAATCAAACCGAATTATCGAAAACAATCATGTTTACAATATACTGTACCTTCACTTCTGCTTTTGAAATTTTTTTGATGAAAATCAGATAATTTATTCAATTCAATTTTTCCATAGTGAATAACCCAATGACCGCGTTCAAGTTCATTCAAATTTTTGTCTGTAATAATCACAGCACATTCCAATATATAAGGATCATCCAAAGATGTCAACTCTAAAAGATATTTAGAAGTATATCTGACAATACACAAAGGTGAATAACATGCTAATCAAAGATTCGAAATCATTTTACGCAAAAGTATTTTTTTTCTATTGTCAATCATATTTCTGAAATATTTTATCAATATTTTGACAGATCATCGAAATGACTCACAAAATAAAAGCAATTATTCAAAATTAACATTAACTTTCTGAAACAAATTTTTTCATTATCAGCAGTATCTTGACTAGTTTGTCCTTATTAGAAGGATAATATTTTTGATCATTATCGATCTTACCTGTGTCGAGCCAAATAATATTCATCATGCTCTCTCTTTTTCTTTCTAAATCATCGACTGACTCGTCATAATTATTTTTTATTGTTTTATTTGCTTGCAATTCCTTTAAAAGTTCACCAATATTAGGTTTTCGATACCAGTAAGTCAAATGCAGTGGTGTGTTTCCGTCTGATTCACGCTTGAGATTGATATCAAAATTCAATTCCTTCACTGCGTATTCGATTGTTTTCAAGAGACCCAAAAGAACAAATTCGTGTATCAAGCAGTTCTTTTGTCTTGATTGCGGTATGGGCCACCGTTGAACCTCGTCTAGACCAAAGTCTTTTACAATGCATTCAAGAGTAACAATGATTGCTTGTTCATCATCGATTTTCATTGATAATAAAGATTGAAGTCGATCATTAAGCGTTCCGACTGCGTTCGTCATTGAATCTTCAGTGTCTTATTCAATTCAAAATATTGTGTTAGAAGAATAAAAGAATTTTCTTGATTTACTTAAATCTAAGTATGAAAAAGAATGACAAAATGACTTAGCATATCCAAAGTAATATCGATGAGATGAGTCGATGAAAAGTTTATCAACACTCATCAATTTAAATAAAACTTACTGAAGTTCAAACTCATGTATTTTTACATTCTAATCATACGATTCTATTACACTATACAGATTTTATGTTCATTGCCATAACGATTTGTTCTCAGTTTCTCCATCAAGTCTTTTCCTAGATAAGTATTTTTCTTTAGAATGTTCAACACATTCATGATCGTTAGGGGTGTTCATATTCGAGAATTTTTTTCTGCTACTTCTCTGTTTTGTAGTCGGTTCATATCACTTCTAACACTTTTTAAAAAACGTACCAATAATTAACGGATACGGCAGAATAAATGACGATCTCACTATTTTCGCCATTCCGAAACAAATTTTTTACCAAAAGATTCAACGATTCATTCTCTACAAAAGTGTATATTTCTACTACGAAAAAAAAGCTTCGTCGTTTTTTGATAGGTAATAAAAAAAGAGTATCCGAATATATGCAACTTTTCAGCCGAAATTATTTTCGATTTTAATCTATTCCCATTTGTTATAGGCTTAATTTGACTTATATTCAATAATCTCACTAACTTATGTATTGATCATTGGAATATCAATGATACTTAACAATATAAGAAAAAAAACTGTCAATTATCCGTCCGTTGCTCTCATGCTTATTTGCGATTACGCAACTGATCTCCAAAATTCTTATTTACTTTATTTTCATAAACAAGGCGAATAAGAAGTTTAACAATGATTGAAGATTCAGGCATGATAACACAAACTCATATGCCATCACTTAACTCAATAATCGTTGCATGACAGTTTTGCACCTTATACTGATAAGTATCATTGATATTCGAATGATCAATGCATAAATTAGTCAGATTATTGAATCTAAATCAAATTAAGCCTATAACGAATGGGAATGGATTACAATCGAAAATAACCTCTGCTGAAAAGTTGCATATATTCGGATACTCTTTTTTATTGCATATCAAAAAAATGACGAAGTATTTTTCCGTAATAGAAATGTACAGTTTTGTAAAGAACTAAACACTAAAGCTTTTTGTAAAACATTTGTTTCGAAATGGCAAAACTAGACTGAGATATGGAGAAAATAGTGAGCCCGCTATTTATTCTGCCGCATCCATTAATAAAAAAAAAAGTGTTATTACTAAAATAGATGAAATAACATGCTCAATATCATGAGTAAGTAACTCTCATCACTATAAGCCAAGATAGATCAGCAAACAACAACAACAGTATGAACTAGTGATACGATCTCAGGAGTATTGGTATCTAAAACAATATTGAATGTTAAAATATCTATATTTCTCATTTTGAATGTAGAGTTTTTCTTTGTCACTTGTTATTCAAAAAGATATAGTATTGGTTAGAAATTGAACTGATGAAGTAAGAAAGAAGAAGATAAATAAATAATCGAATGTCTATAGATGTCAGCGACGGCCGACTATGGATCAAGAATTTTCTATATTATCGATCATTTGGTGAGTGAGTGCGGCTGCTGATTTTTCAGAAAAATCAGTGGTGACTTACACCTCTAGATACAGACTACGCGTCGCATTTGAGCAGGCAAACCCATTCGATTTCACTCGCTTGGACTTAAGACTCACTGTTTGAGGAGTCATTTGCCGTTTAGAAAAAAACAGGTGCTTGATCGATCAAAATTGACATTTTCAAGACTAAGCGATTAGATCGGAGCATGTTTGTTTGTTGGTCGGCAACACTTAAGCCCTGTTGCCAATTAACATAAGAACACCTCAAGAGTGAAGAACTACCAGCTTGAACTTTAGTCGTAAAGGACAAAAATTAGCATAGAAGATGATAGTTTGAGAATAGTCTTGAGGAAGATAAATGGTTAATGATGTAAGAAAGCGATTAAGACAAACATTAGAAGTGGATGATTAGAAATCGGATATGAATACAATATGCATTATTTAAATTACTTCTGGAAGCAGCAGATCAAAATAAAAAAAAATACATTTCTACAGCGCTTTATGAAGTTAAGTTTCAAGCAATACTTATTAATAATACTATTACTGTTACGAGTGGCGGGTGTGGGGTGTGGGTGGGTGTGGGTGTGGGTGTGGGTG